GGAGCCGGCTAGCTTAGCGGAGCTCGTGAGTGGAGTGAAGTAAAAACATTTTTCTAATCGGGGGAGTTTCATTATGTAGGTTGTGGGTGTTGTATGGTACAGTAATAATTTTGTAATTACATATTACACGTCAGTGTTATATATATATCTTGTACTCTTTTTTTTGAATTGAAATAAAAGCAGCTGCTCCCAAGGACGTAGGCATTCTTGTCGAACCTTGTTAAATCTATGTGTTTTCTTATGGATTTGTGTCGATTCTTCTTTTTCTTTGCCCTAAAATTCTCAGCAATATATATAGTCTAAAATAGCCTAAGATTGTTCTCTCTTGAACCCACATTAAAATGAACAAAATTTTTCATTTTTGGCTGTGGCACCGTGAATATAGCACTGCGATGTTTTAGGCAGAATTGCGATGCTTAAAATATAGCGATGTGATGTCAAGCTCTCGATCTTTGGCCTTTTTTTTCTTCATTGATCAGCGTTGCAGCACTACAAAGACAACACTGTAATACTATTACAGTAATGTCGCCGTGCTCGAATGTAGCACAATGGTGCTACACTCTATTTTATAACAAGAAACTTATGTTGCCGCACTACCAAAACAATTTTTTCATGTCCTCTCAAACTTGTTGTATTGTTACTTTTCTATAACAAAATATATAGAAATTACCATAAAGATACAAAATAATATAACAATTGCACATAATCTCACCCAAAAATTTCATATGAGCATTCTCGAGCGGAGAGCTCCCAATTGATGGTTGATTTTTGCTCAAGTGGATCCCGCCTAGTTGTGCTAATATTGCTTGTCAAATGCAGATAAGTGTCAGATAAGAGCTAGATAATCAGCTTGTCTTGCTAGCAGAGTAATGGCCATCGAGGAGAGACAGAGCAGGGTAATGTCTATTGGTGGTCTAATATTAGCCAATCAATAGTTTTCTAGTGAGAGGGATAGAAGTCTGATGATGGTGATGGAAAGTCTGTGATGGTGGCAATGGAAACATCAACTAGATGACAATGATGGCGAATGTGTGTGTTAGGTGATTATGATCTGACAATGACGGTGAATATATGATGGTGATCCAAAAATTGTAGTGGCGTTAGCTTGGTGATAGTTGTGCAATATTGCCAAAAGTTGGGTAACGACGGTCTCAGTGGTGATGATGTAACAACAGTGATGGCGTCGACTGAGGGATGGTGGTTCGATGATAGCAATGGTCAGACGATGGTGGTCTGACAGTGGTGATGGTGGCCCAATGTTGGTCTAGTGATGGTGGCGGCTTATAGGCAATGTTTTGATGACAATAGTGGTTTTGAGGCGCCAACAATGCTAGCTTAGGGAAGTTGATTATGTGATGATATCAAATGAGTGATGGTTGTCCAATAGCGTAGTAGGGCGACAACCATCTGGTGGTGATAGAGGCCAAGAAATGATGATGGTGGCCTGACAACGGTGATGATGTCAATAGTGTGATGGTGATCAAAGTAGTGGGCAGGCAAAGATAGTACATTGGTGGCGACAGTAAAGCAATAGTGGTCCAGCGACAGTGACTGCCGAGAGATTGTGATCTCATGAAGGTGAAAATGTAACGGTGACCGTGACAACAGAGGTTCATGATGTTTTGGTTGCATGATGTTGACCCATTTGGACTCAGATTGAATCACTTTTAATATCATTTGATTTATAAACTTAAGCGTAGTAAATTTTAATTTGATTTTTGAAACTTTCAATCTCAGTATGCATGCGTTGAGATTCTTGCCCAATCGAGAAATTTTTCGGGACATTTATGCCTTCTAGAGTAATTCATTTATGGAATTTTAAGATTAGGTACCACATTTGCTGTAAAGAAAATAATCCATAATATTCATCAGCCATCAAACTATCAATAAGGGTTCAAAACGAATATAACCTTTTCTTGTAAATCAAGAGGCGCAGACGGTGTCTTCATCATGAATATAATTGACTGATGAGAGGGAGGTTGCGGGGTGCGGGCGACGCCGCGCGTTGAGGGGCAAGACGGCTGGCTGATGGCCCCAACTACCGTCTCAGCGCCATCAGTCTAAAGATTGATGAACTAGTAGAAGACCAAATTTCAGTCCGGACTCTAATAAAATGTTATCACGTGTATCTAATTAAACTCATCTAAAAAGTAATTAAAAGACTAATAATACTTCAATAACATCACAGTGTTATTCGTGCGGTCCTCTGGACGATGTAATTGCCGTTGTTCACGAGATTTCGACATTATTTTGGTATTATTGGAGTTGTTTTATGAAGTTATTGTTGTGCTATCGCTGTGTTATTTGTATGGTCCTTGAGGCGGTATTATTGGTGCTGATCACCGATGTTATTGCAGTGTTATTATGGTGTTATTCACGTTATTTTTGCGGGGTTATGAAGCGAAATCACGGTACCTGTGGTATTACGGTGTTATTGCGGTATTATTGAAGTTGTTTTGTAATAACACCACAATAAGCATCTTTTCTTCATTTTTTAGATGGGTCCTGTCAGATACACGTGACAATATTTTATTGGAATCCGGACCCAGAGCTTCGCCCGGACTTCATATGGAAAATACATAAATTAAAATTCAATATGCAATCAATTAAAACTAGCTTTGCACCAAAAGAAATCTGATGAATTTGAAATTCATCTTGATAAAAAATTAGATCATACTATCTTGACTTAGTTTTTCTAACCTTAAACTCGTTTAATCAACCCCCAATTTCATAAAATGGCGTGCTTCATAAATGCAGGCGGGATATGAAGGAACTCAGTGATTACCTGAACAAATGGGACAGAATGCTAAGCATGCATAAAACATGTCATCAACAATTCATGTCGTACCCTACTAAACATGAGAAATAATTGGAAATACTGATGGAAAAATAAATAAATAAGTAAATAAAAGGATGGTCAAGGTTAAAGAACACCAACACTATAGCTCCTCGCTCGCCATTCACTCAACTCAAAGTTATACAAATTACCTCGTTGAAGCATGCACCATAGAACATCAATACCCGCCGTTAGTGTTGTAAGAATATTCGGACACACACGAGTAAAAAGAAATCGGTAGAAAAGATAACAAGAATTTTTATGCGGAAAATCTGAAGGGAAAAAAAGCCACGAGGCCGATTCAGTTGAAATGATTCCACCGTGCCAGTATAGGGTACAAAATCTTACAGGCCATTGAATAGGACTTTTGCTAGGAAAGTTGTTGAAAATAATGAGGATTTGACGATGACCCAGCTCCTGTGAAGAAAAGCTGACAGTAGAGGTCGAGTGTCAGAAAGTCTGATGTCAGCATTGGCAGTAGCGACAGTGATAGTAATGGTGGAGCAATAGAGGTCTGGTGTTGGCGGCAGTTGCCTGATTTTAACAGCGTTGGTCTACTGATTACGATGATTCAAAGGTGGTGGCCCAATGGCGGTGACGATGGTGTTGCAATGGCGGCTGTTAGACAACGAGGTTCTCCAGTTGTCATTATTTCTGCAACGCGAAAGAAGCTAACATGGCTCACCTGCTATGCAGGACGGGGACGACATTCCTTTTGATCGCAACACGAAAAAAGATCTTGTTGCTCGTCTGCTACGCAAAATAGTGTGCTTTCTTCTTGGTCGCAACATGAAAAAAGATCTCGTTGATCGCTTATTACGTAAGACGAGGATGACTTTTCTCTTGGTTGCAACAGTAACGAAGATCCTGTTGCTCGTTTGCTACGCAAGATGGAAAAGACTTTTCTCTTGGTCGCAACACGAAAGGATCTCATTACTCATCTGCTATGTAGGACAGGGAAGACTTTCCTCGGCACCACATCGTGAAAGAAAATCTCGTTGCTCGCTTACTACACAGGACAGAGACAACTTTTTTCTTCTTAAAAGCTTATTGCTCGTTTACTACGCAAAATGGAAACGACTTTTCTCTTGGTCGCAACACGAAAGGATCTCGTTACTCATTTGCTATGTAGGACGGGGAAGACATTCCTCTGCACCACATCGTGAAAGAAAATCTCGTTGCTCGCTCACTATGCAGGACAGAGACAGTTTTTTTCTTCTTAAAAGTCGCATTAGAAAACTCCACGCTCCCTCATTTTTCCTTCTCCTTTTTCTCACTTGTGACGCTTCTTCTCATCCATGGTCTCTATTTATAAGCTTAAGAGTAGGCCTACTATAATAATAATAATAATATTGTTTATGCTTCTAATTTTTAACATCATAAGAAGCTATTTGATTTAAGGGAGGATTTAAGCGGGATTTAACTTAAATACTCTTAGGCAAACATGTTGGACTTCTTAAATATTCGGATTTACTAAATTTAAATTTTGCCCATTTCTGGGCTGATTTGTAAATCTCGGATCACAAGAAGAGGAGGATGTGAGGAGGATGCCTAATAACAACAATTACCTTCGACAATAGTTTCGAGTAAGAGCGAAGCGAAAGGAGGAGAAATATGATAATTCCGATCATCTTTGAACACCGTGATTCCATTATTGCCTTCCAAACTAGCTTTAGTAGCAATCGTATCACATGGGTTTCAATCATGGGGGTGACGATTTCTATAATGAAATCAGAAGAGGAAGGAGAGGGCCGGAGATAGACAATGATTTTAGAGGGAAGGGGAAAAAAAAATTATGTTTCAACATTTAAGTTAATTTAATTTAAAAGATAATTATAGTTAATTAGTTTATTAAGAATTAATAACTAATTAACATATTATCAAAATAGTAATTAGACATAATAAATAACAACATAATTAATTAATAAAAATTAAATTACATATTAAAATTAGTACAATAAATAACATATTAGTTATTAATTCATAAATGTACTGTATAAATAACCAGTTTTAAAAAAATTATTATTAATGATCAATTAATTTAGTTAATTAATTATTAATTAAAAAAATATAAAATAAAATTTTAATTTAATTTAATTATAGTAAATAATTATATATTAATATTAAATATTAAGTTTATATTTCAATTATCTGGCGCATAGAACCAATGCTCAGAATGGCAGCAAGGCTGCGAGGTCTAGCCATGGCCGCCTCTAACAACTCAATCTCTTCTAATCCCATGCAGCCAAGCAGCAACATACAGAAGCTCATCCAACAGCTCCGCCTTTACAGTGCCCCGCGCTTTGGCAGCAGCTTCGGCAATGAAGATGACGAGATCGACGAGAGAGGAAAGGTCTTCTCCCAGATGGGCCTCGCCGAATCCTCCGTGCCTCCCCCTGTCACATCACAGAACCAGCGAGCAGCTGTGCTTATCTGCCTCTTTGAAGGCGATCATGGCGATCTCCGCGTCATCCTCACCAAGCGCTCCTCCAACCTCTCCTCCCACTCCGGTCGTATCTCGATCTGTGAGCTTAGGGTTTTCAAAGCCGTCCTTCTTCCGCCTACTAAATGCTTTAGATTGCAGGGGAGGTGGCATTACCGGGGGGCAAAGCGGACGAATCCGATCCTGACGACGTAGCAACGGCCATGAGAGAAGCCAACGAGGAGATCGGGCTAGATCCATCTCTAGTCAACGTCGTCACTGTCCTCGAGCCCTTCTTGTCCAAGGTACGATTAGTTCCGTAGTTCTCTTGGACCGGATTTGCCCATAAGACTGGCAATTCTCTCATTGTAGTCTTTCATTTCTCTTTGAAAACTGAATATATTTTCCCGTTTAATTTGCAGAATCTTCTCAGAGTAGTTCCTGTAATTGGAATACTCTCTGATAGGCAAGCATTCAAACCTGTCGCCAATGTCTCGGAGGTGGAAGCAATTTTCGATGCGCCATTGGAAATGTTCTTGAAGGTTTGCATTGCTCCAACACAAACAATAAGAACAATAACAATAGGCCTTTATCCCACTAAGTGGGATCGGCTACATGAATATTTTTTTCTCCATTGTGTCCTATTAAGTGTCATATTTTTATTTAATTCTAATAGATTAAGATCATTTTTTATACAGTATGCCCAACCCTTTTTAGGTCTATCTCTACCTTTCTTTAACATAAGTTGAATCTAAAATATCTACTCTCATAACCAGATCATCGGATACTCGATGTTTAATATGACCAAACCTTCTAAGATGTTTCTCTCTAACCTTTTTTGCCGCTAAAGCTACACCAATCCTTTCACGGATAAATTAATTTCACATTTTGTCTTTGTGCCAAGCCACTTGTCCACCTTAGTTTTCTCATCTCAGCAATACTTAACTTTGTTTAATACTTCTTTTTTAAAGGCCAATATTTTGTGCCGTAAAGTATTGCGGGTCTCACCATCAACTTATTAACATTTCCTTTAAGTCTAAGCGGTACTTTTCTATCACACAATAAGCCTAATGCATTCCTTCACTTCAACCGACCAACCTCAATTCTACTACTAATATCCCCATATATATCATAGTCACTTTGAACAATAGATTTGAGATATCTAAAATGTTCACACCTTTTAATGATCGCATTGCGCCAACACACTTGCACAAAAAATTTAACTTCTACAAACCATGTGTCTCTGCTGTAAAAGTTATTTAGGAGTATTGATTCTGTTGTGAAGGTTTGTAAATAGATCTCTCCATAGATTCAAAATCTCAAGCCAAATGACTTATTTTCCTAACTTTTTTCAATGGTAACAGGATGAGAACAGGAGAGCAGAAGAGCGGGAGTTGATGGGGGCCGACTATCTCATCCATTTTTTTGATTATCAGACGGATGACAAGAAGTTTTTGATATGGGGTTTGACTGCCAGCATCTTAATTCATGCAGCATCAATAGTGTATCAGCGACCACCATCCTTTGCCGAGCAGTATCGCAAATTTCATCACTGCTTAAAGAGGGATTTTTCCAAGTGAATAAGGTGAATATTGATTTTAGAGGCACAGGATATGCATTAATCTGCTTTTACTTCGGCGGCAGAAAATATTTTATAGGCAAGGTGTTTATGATTATTTGATGCTTAAACAGCCTTTTAAATGTATCTCGGTAGATTTTTAGATTCTCTTTGCAATGGGATGGCTTTGTTTTGTGGATTTAGTAATTAAACCAAAATGTCCTTAGGCGGTGTTCGGCTGCAACCCAAATTTATGTTAAATAAGATTTATCAAGTCCAGTAAATTCATAAATCTCCTGAGCAAGAACGGAATAATTTACTTCGCAATTCGATTGAATAAATTGAGATTTACATAGTAAAAGAGACAGAATGCGAGAAAAAAGAAGACAGAATGTGAGAAAATTCAATTTAGCAGAGCATTGGCTTTCATATTTATTTTTTTTATGTTTGGGTGGATTTAAGTTAAGTTCATGGCTAAATTTTATTAATAGTATGCTACCAAACACTGCCTAACATTGCTTAGGAATTGTAGTTGTTGGTTTGCATTAACATTTTTTAAGATTAATTAACCATAATTCAAATGCAGTAACAATTGAGGTATAACATGTTGAGTGCTTATCTGGGAGAATTCCTGCAGAACATTATTGGTCATGGAAACACTGCTCTTCATTAGGTCGAACTGCCCATTAGAGGTGTCGACGTATTCAAAGAGAACAGATCAGATTTGCTTCAGTGAATCAAGTTTGCTACCCCCCTGAAGCGCATAAAGCATTCATTCAACTGAAATACTGGCAGAAAAAATGGAATTCATAGTGGTTCAAAGGTAATTAGAAAAGGTCCCACCATCCACAAACAACAATTCCTTAAAGCCCCAATCCTAATTTCTTACAATAATAGATGTGTTGCGTCTGTATCGTGTCTGTGTCCCCATATTCGCACCCGTGCATCATAGCTCCTCGCAAATTGAAATTTAAATAAGTATGAATAGGCTTTGCACTATTTATTGCATGACATATTTCATACAAATAACTTGTATTAGCTTCAGTTGCTGGTAATTTACTTGGAAGCGATGCTAAATTTTCCACCTTAAAAGAAAAAAAGATAGACAAATTTTTTTTTAAAATTTTTTATTTTGCCTCTTTCTAATGGAACAATTTGCAGAGCAAACTCCAATCCTGCTATTGATTGTATTATTCTCATATGGGTAGAGGAAAGTGAAGCTTTCCTATTCCTGACATTTTCAGTATGACAGTCAAATTATCTGGTGAACCATAGTGATGCTTTCCAACCAACACTTGGTACGCACCAATCATCTCATCCAACTGTACTTCCTACCACGAGCTATCTCGCCAGCCGCATGATTTAATCAGCCATAAAGTTCAGTTTGATGCTATAAAAGACCTTAAATTGAAGCAATTTAGAGAGAGTTCAAAGTTGAGAAAAGAGATTGCTTTCATTTGGGTGTGTGATTCCCCTAAAGGTGAGTTATGTTACAATTATTATGTGTGAGTAAATCCTAGAACTTTTGGGTGATTCAATCCTTTCTCATAATAATGAAATTTCTCTTTGCTATCTACTTATTTTTTTATAAGCTACAATAAGTTGGTATTAAAGTAATTTTTTTCGGACCACCACGTGTCATATCTTTGGCTCTAATGATGAGGGATGTGTTTCTTCAAACATGAAACTCACGCAAATCTTCTTTCACCAAGGGAGATTGATGAACTATCTAATGGACATTGATTTCCAGCCACCACTTACAATTTACCAAAAACACAGTTAATTACCTCCCAATCAAAACTGCCTGTAATGTTGGTCCGTCATAGACTGGCTGAGCCTTGAGGTTGGAAACCCTAAGTCCTGCCTGGGATGATTCCAGCCTCCCGTTAAGCCCCTAATCATTTATGCGGGGAGAGAAATTGAGGGGAAAGTTTGAATGTGTTTTGAGGGTATTTTATTAGAATGAATCACCAAGGGTTATTTTTATGTTTGGATTCCTACAAATTTCTGTTTTATTATTCTTAGAAGCGTCTAGGGTTTGTTGAGTCGATCTACCTCTTAAATTGTATATCACTCATTGTATCTTGTTTGTTTGCTTAAAGATAATCAAATTAGCCTAATTTGGGATTTCCTACACAATGCTTGCAATTTGTTTGTTGATTATGAGTGGAGTGATATTTCACGGTAAATGACCTAAAAGAGAAGGAGAAGCTCATGGATACAGGATTATGTTTGGAGGGATAAACCCTAGTGTGGCTTCAGTAGAGGGTTGCTAAATACACGATCCTATCGTGAAAAAAATTTAAGGTTTTCTTGTTGTAACGTTTTTGAGTCATTCGAGAATGAGACCTACACGAGAAATTCTACCTTAACTTTGGAGGGGGTCGTCACGGAGTATAGGGAGAGATTTGAGTTATTGTCGAGGAGGTTGAGGGTGATTTTTGAAGCAGTATTGGAGGAGAATTTTATGAAGGGTCTAAAACAAAATATACATGCAACCCTCCAATTGTTGAGACTGAGGGATTGAGGGAGAAAATGGAGCTAGCCTAAATGGTAGAAAATAAGAACCAGATGGAGAGGGCCAACAAAAGTAGCACAATGGGAGGATTCCACAAGAGTCCTTGTTGACACTGACACTGAGGCCCCAGACGGTGTCATTTTAGAGGGAAACATTGAAGGAGAGCTGTATAAGGGCATGTGCTTGGGTCAACTTCAAGCGCCTCATGAAGATAGAGGTGCAGGAAGAAAGAGAAAAGGGTTATGTTTCTGATGTGATGAGTATGCACCAGGCCACTGGTGCAATAATCATTTGCTCCATGTTCTTGCAGTTTGAGATGGGGAGGATGCGAATAGTGACGAGATGGAGGAAACAACGGTGGAAGGAGAGGATCACTTAAACCTTGATGTAGCAGTGGTGTCCTTCAACTCAGTGGTAAGAAATTTTGGGGATAGTCGAGGATCAGTCGGGGATCAGCTTGTAGTTGTGTTGATGCATAGTGGGACCACTCACAACTTCATCTCAAATTGGGTTGTGGGCCTTTTAGGGTTGAAATTGATAAATACAAGAAATTTTGGGGTTATGACCGGGATGGGGAATGTGGAGAAAAGTTGGAGAATTTACATGCAATTGTTGTTGACGCTAAATGGCATACATGTGAAGGACTTCCTTCACTTGGACTTGGGAAGTACTATCGTGATTCTGGGATGAAGTTGCTACAGACGATCGAAGAGATGATGGGGGATTAGACGATCGAAGAGATGATGGGGGATTGAAAATCCCTAACTATGGAGATTTTGATGGAGATGAGGAATGTGGTGTTGAGAGAGGATGCTGGCTTGTGCAGAAGCATGGTCTCACACTAAATCATGGTTGAGATGATGTGGGGAGTTGAATTAGGCTATTTGGTAGAGTTGCAGATACTAAAGGAGATTCTGGATCCACCTCACCTGATACACTATAGGCATAACACTATTACAGGCATCCAATGTAGACCTGTACTTGGTGGATAGGGATAGAATATTTCAGGGCTCAAGAGACATCTACTAAGGGCCCAACATATCATGAAGAAAAGGCTAGTGGATTTAGGAGATAGGTACAATTTCAGCTCGGGGACAGTTTATTTGAAGTTGAGACCTTACCGACAAAAGACACTGGCCAAGAAAAGCGAGAAGCTTTCTCCATGATATTTTGGGCCCTATGTAACTGTGGCAAACATCGGGATAGTGGCATACCATCTGATGTTACCGCCACCATCATCTTTGCATCTAATCTTTTATGTATCACAATCGAGGCGCGTTATCAAAGACTACACACCCTCGTCTTCACTACCTCCAACGCTGACAGAGAACGCGGAGGTAGTTTTGGAATATTTGGAGGAAAAAGGAATGCACCGAGGAGTTACGAGAGCAAATGTCGTATTGATTTAGTGAAAAGATATGTCATATTATGAAGCAACCTGGGATCCTTATGAAGTGATCAATAAACATTTTTCATCATTCCACCTTGAGGACAAGGTACTTCTTTGGAAGGAGAGTATTGTTAAAAAATTTAAGGTTTGACCTTCCGCTTATGGTAATCAAACTTGGTAACCAAACTCTTTTCTAGCAAGAAATCAAAGATTTCTTTTCTTTCACACAATTTCAGTTAATAGTTGGAAAAGGGATGAATCACATAAGATTTATTTTTATGTTTAGATTCTATAATCTTCTATTGTCTTGTTGTTCTTAGTCGTGTATATTGAGTTTGTGGAGAGTCGATCTACCTCTCGACTTGCATATCACTCCTTATATCTTGTTTGTTTGCTTGGAAATTAATTAAATTAGCCAATTTGAGTTTTCTCACAATTCTTGCAATTTGTTTGTTAATTTTGGCTTCGATTCGTATCACTGCCCTAACCATATAAATTGAAAAAAAATTAAGGTTTGACCTTGTGCTTATGGTAACCAAACTTGGTAACCAAACATTTTCCTGGCAAGAAATCAAAGATTTCTTTTCTTTCGCACAATTTCAGTTATAGTTGGAAAAGGGATGAATCACATAAAATTTATTTTTATGTCTAGATTCTACAATCTTCTCGTCTGGTTGTTCTTAGTGGTGTATATCGAGTTTGTGGAGAGTTGATCTACCTCTCGAATTGTAGATCACCCCTTATATCTTGTTCGTTTGTTTGGACATTAATTAAATTAGCCAATTTGAGTTTTCCCACATTTTTTGCTATTTGTTTGTTGATTTTGGTTTCGATTCATATCACTGCCCCAATCATATAAATTGAAAAAAATTTAAGGTTTGACCTTCCGCTTATGGTAATCAAACTTGGTAAGCAAATTCTTTTCTGGCAAGATATCAAATATTTCTTTTCTTTCGCGCAATTTCAGTTATAGTTGGAAAAGGGATGGATCATAAGCATGTGGCAAGACATAATTCTCAAAACAATTTGAGACTTAAGCATCAAAATAAATAAATTGCATTTAGAATTAAATATTATACTAATTTAAAAGTATGTATTAAGAAATAACATATTTATATCCTAACCTCTTCCTACATTAAAATGTAATATATTAGCATCCAAATATAGTGAAAATAATAAAATTTTCAAAATAAGAAGTAATACATTAACATGCAAACATTAAATCAAATAGTTAAACAAACATCAAAATAAGAAATAATAGCGTAAGAGTTTAAAATAAGTTTGGTACAAATAGTCTCCCTCGTACTTATATTAACCTATGAAAAAAAGAACGTTGTGAATTGCTAAGGTTAGAATTTTAAATTTTAATATCCACATCACTTTTATCACTCAATGAGCCTTTATTTAGCATAATTGACAACATATTCTGCTTTCTCCATCATTTTATTCTCGACCATATACACATTCTCTAATTTCTCCTCCTCATCTTAAATCTCAATCATATTCCTCTTATTTAGTCAATATTGCTATTTATTAGATTTTAACGAAAATATTGATAGTAATAGTTTTAATTACACCCTCAAGTGTATGTGAATCACATAAGATTCATTTTTATGTTTAGATTCTACAATCTTCTCTTGTATTGTTGTTTTTAGTGGTGTATATTGAGTTTGTGGAGAATCGATCTACCTCTCAAATTGCAGTTCACCCCTTATATCTTTTTTGTTTGCTTGGACAATAATTAAATTAGCCAATTTGAGTTTTCTTACAATTCTGACAATTTGTTTGTTGATTTTGGCTTCGATTTGTATCACTGCCCCAATGATATAGATTGAAAAAAAATTTAAGGTTTGACCTTCTGCTTATGGTAATCAAACTTGATAAACAAACTCTTTCCAGAAATCAAAGATTTCTTTTCTTTCCCGCAATTTCAGTTATAGTTGGAAAGGGATGAATCACATAAAATTTATTTTTATGTTTAGATTCTACAATCTTCTCGTCCTGTTGTTCTTAGTGGTGTATATCGAGTTTGTGGAGAGTTGATCTACCTCTCGAATTGCAAATCACCTCTCATATCTTTTTTGTTTGTTTGGACATTAATTAAATTAGCCAATTTGAGTTTTCCCACAATTCTTGCAATTTTTTTGTTGATTTTGGCTTTGATTCATATCACTGCCCCAACCATATAAATTGAAAAGAATTTAAGGTTTGACCTTCCACTTATGGTAATCAAACTTGGTAACCAAACTCTTTCCTGGCAAGAAATCAAGTATTTCTTTTCTTTCATGCAATTTCAGTTATAGATAAGGGTGTAAACGAGCCAAACACGAGCGAGCCCAGGTTCAGTTCGTGTTCGGCTCGTTTATATTTCGAGCTCAAAAAATGTATTCATGTTTGACTCGTTCTCGGCTCGTTTAGCGAGCCGAACACGAGTTATCGAAAAGTGTGTTTGTGCTCGGCTCGTTTACTTAGCGAGCCGAACACGAGTCGTTCATGAACAAAGAGTCGTTTTGTCAACCCTAATCAGGGGACCACACGAGGTATTCACGAATAAAGAGTCGTTTTGACAACCTTAATCACGTAGTCATAAGATGTTAAGGATTAGGCAAGATTTAAAAATTATTGTTTATATTAAAACATCATTTGAATCTAATTTAATATTTTTTTTCTATTTTCTTAATTAATACGTGTGTGTGTGTGTAAATCATTTAATTGATTATAATTTTATGTTATAAAAAGTGTGTGTGTGTGTGTGTAAATCATTTAATTGATTATAATTTTATGTTATAAAAAGTGTTTGTGTGTGTGTGTGAATATCCTAACCTCTTCATACATTAAAATGTAATATATTAGCATCTAAATATAGTAAAAATAATAAAATTTTTAAAATAAGAAGTAATACATTAACATGCAAACATTAAATCATAAAATAAAAATAGTTATACAAAGATCTAAATAAGAAATAATAAGGTAAGAATTTAAAATAAGTTTGGTACAAGTAGTCTCTCCTACTTATATTTAGGGGTGTAAATGAGCCGAACACGAGCGAACCCAGGCTCAGCTCGTGTTCGGCTCGTTTATATTTCGAGCCCAAAAAGTGTGTTTATGCTCGTCTCGTTTGCTTAGCGAGCCGAACACGAGCCGTTCACGAATAAAGAGTCGTTTTGATAATCCTAATCACGTAGCCATAAGACAAAAATAGTTTGAAAAAGATTTATGTTTAAAAATCATTTGAACCTAAATTTTTATTCTATTTTCTTTGTTAATACTTTTAATTGATTATACATCTTCTTAGCCTTGTAGTCAATTAATTTTTTTAAAAATACTACTCATCCAA